ATTACAAAAAAAAAATATAGAGAAAAATATAATAAAAATATCATTTGCAAGGGAGATTAATATTGAGTAATAATATAAAGTCAAAAATATTTTATTTTATTTTGTTTTGAATAAATTTTCAGTATAAAAATATACAGACTATTAAATTCAAAATATTGTGAATAATTATTTAAGAAAATTAAAAATATATATATTATTTTTATTATATAAAAATACGTGGTTTCACAATAAATTAATATTGAGTAATAATATAAAGTCAAAAATATTTTATTTTATTTTATTTTGAATAAATTTTCAGTATAAAAATATACAGACTATTAAATTCAAAATATTGTGAATAATTATTTAAGAAAATTAAAAATATACATATTATTTTTATTATATAAAAATACGGGGTTTCACACACACTACGATCTTTATTCTACTACGAATCCTATCCTACTATTTTTTTTTTTAATATTTGTTTCTTGTATATGTATGTATATATGTATATTTATGTTTATATAAGAAGTTTAACTATAAACTCTCTCTCCAAACTTCTCTTCTAATTTATATTAACATAAAAAATGTATTATATCAAATTTATTATTTTTTGTTTAATGATTTTAATATTATTTAAGATACATTGCTATGGATAATTTCTCATTTTATTTGACATTGAAGGTAGAATCTTATGATTCTAGATCCGATTTTACGATTCAATCCACAAGTCTCTCCCAACGATCTTGCTTAGGATTTCGATTTTAACAACATTGCATGGGGGATTTCTGATTATATTTAAATTAGGGCTGAGCAAGGAATCCGTAAAATCCGTAATCCGATCCAGTCCAGTCCAATCCAGTAGGTTTGGATTGGTTTTTTGAATCCGTGGTTCGGTTCCGGATTGAAAAATTAAAAATCCGTAGTTCATGGATTGGTTCCGGATTGAATCCCACGGTTCCGGATTGGAACCGATCCGGACCGTATACAAATAGTCTATATTTTTATTATACACCCTCCTGCATAGTGTCTTCTCTTATTTCATATAAAACTTAAATCCAAACCTAAACTTGCATAGTATTTTCTTTTATTACTTTTGTTTGCTAGTTTTTAGTGTTAATTTGTAATGGTTTAAATACTT